TTTGTGTTTAAATCTTTTTATTATTCGTCTAATATAAGATCTAAATTCAGACTAATATAAGATCATAACTCTATTTCTATAGGGTTATTAATATGCATTCTTATAAGATATATAAGTTATAGCGATTACTATAGTGGATATACAATTGATTACACAATTGTGTACGAGAGTACCTTTCAAAAATCATTTTTCACTTTTAATCTCTGATAAATACATTTAGTAATTTTATTTAGTAATTTGTATTTATTGTATAAAAAAAAAAGAAATAATTAAAAATGCCATATTGATAAATCATAAATAACATTTATTTGTCTTTATATAAAATTTATAAAGTTTTTAAAATTCTAATACTATTTTTGGTACAAAATTTATTTGATCAATATTTGATATATTAAGAAGGCACTTAAACTTTATAAAAAAAAGTACATACAAGGTTCACATATAATATATAATTTCATTAAATTGAGAAGAAATTTGTAAAATTTCTTTAACAGTATTCAATAAGATTCTTTTAAAAGAGTAATAAATTTGAATAGATTCATATAAAATATTTTATATTAGAAATCTCTTAAAATTTATGGACGGCAATATGATAAGTATCTATAATTATTAATAATTCTTTAAAAAGACTAAACATAAAAATATGGACGGCATATGAAAATACTCATCTAACATAAGTCATATTACTAATGGAAAACAATTTTACATAATATAAATCTGACAAGATCTTATATTTATCTCCTAAGCAATGGATTAATCGCTATTAGTAATGATAGAATTATAACCCAACTTGCTTGGATTGAAGATGCACCAGCTATACGGCATTTGAACATATCGTACCTGTGAATACATTTAATCTTATTTATAACTGTTTTATTCTTAAATTAAGTAAAAAAAATCATTCGAATTAAACTAATAAACTTAGTGGTATTAGTAATAGATAAATTATTTTAGTATCAGAAATGTAATAAATTATTAATGCCGTTACCTTGTTTCTTCGTCATTGACAATATTACTAAACTCTGCCTCTACTAGCTGCCCATCATAATATGTAATATAGTCTTCAAAAGGGTATTCAAAGCCTTGTTTACATTCACATTTATATCCACCAGTTTCAAAACCTCTGCCAAGAATGGGTACACACTGTAATATGATCCATTAATAGAAACATATCTAAAGCACTTGTTTCGTATTATAAATAGGCCATTTAATTTCAGATAAATTAGATATACCAAAGAAACTTCCTATTATCTAACTGCATAATCAGATGTGTGCACACACACACACACACACACGCGCGCGCAGCATTAATTTATAATCATTTTTTCTTATAGCATAATATATAAACTTACATATGATGTTTTCTTATGACATTTATGTGTATCTTTAAATGCATTTGGACGGTAAAATTTATCATCACATTGATTAATATCCAATTGAAGTAAATCCATAGAAACGGCAACCACACCCCTGTAAATATTATTTTAATGTAATACTATTTTATTTAATCACACATAAAATATTTTATATTAATATTTTAAATGAAAACAAACTGACTTGAGATTACTTACTTAAATTCTAATTTTTCTCTTAGGCTATCCCAACCGAAGAATGGAGATGCATAAGTAATTAACCATTTTTTCACTTTACCATTGCAATCAAAGTATGGAACTGTCCAGTAACCATGATTCAGATTTGCTGCTCTATATGATTCATTCGGATTATTATTAAATAAACTAAATTGATTCATATGGAATTAGTTTATCAATAATACTTACCGATAATGATTTGGGTAGTGTTCATACTTTTTAAGATATTCACCTGTTTCATTATATCTAATTTTTATTTTCATGTAGAATTTCTCCAAATCATCAAAATTTGCTGCCCATCTTTGTTTCAAAAATTGAAAATAATTCTTTCTAGTGTAAACTTCATCTGTAAATATATATATATATATAAAAAATAGATATCATTCACATAATACAAGTAATAACAAAACGTAATTACATAACAATTTTAATGGCTTACCTGTGTCATTTAATCTAGCTAAGTCTTCGAGTTTAAACTTCCGTGTATTCAGTTCAGTTTTATAAGCAAACGGTGCAAAAAATGTTCTATTAGTAAATTTATTTCTATCCCAAAATGTTCCTGCAGACCAGATTTTGGTATCTCCAAGAATTAAAGCTAGTGTTTCACCTATCATTTGATCTTCCGTAAGAGGTTTATCGGCCACTCTTTTACCAGAATAAACTTCATGTGAATCAGATATTTGAAGAAATGCACTAATAAAATTAGCAAGTCGGGTCGCCATTTTTGCTTCATTTTCGAAAAACTCTTCTGCTCCATATCCTATATCACCATCCAAGACTAAATCTTGTGCCGAATACCTAATTACAATTAATAATATATCATTCATTGTTATATATCAATATATAATATTTTTTAAAAATTATAAATAAGAAATATACTTTTTACATGTTCTCGCATTTATATTAGAAATGAATTTTAAAGTTTGATCAATATTTATTTTCTCCGAGTTTAAATTGTCAGGGCCTGTTGTAAGGTTTCTATATTGATAATACTGCTCGAGGTATCTCTCTCTAATATAATACTTTGCCTTATACCATTGTACTGGCATTTTTTGAATCCCTGCAACAAAGCAAATAAAGACATGATTTCAACTCATCTAATTATATAAATTACACACTAATAACATACATCCTATTTTGCTACAATCAAATCCATTATAATATTGTTCTTGTGTTGCTCTTTCAATAATTTCTCCAAGATATGGTCGACGTACAACGGTTGGTAATCTATAACCTGGCTTGCATCTACATTGATATCCCCCTCTTCGAAATCCCCACCCATGCAATGGTTCACACTAAAAATAGATCATATTAATTTATTAATTAACAAGTTTACTTTTGTACAAATAAATAAATGCTATATAAAAGTATAGTCAACACAATACTATAATTTATAATTATACGGAAATAAATTACCTCTGTAGTTTCTATTTTACATCGCGTAGTATTTGCAAATCTATTTGGTCCATTATTTCCTTTACCTTTTGGACATTGATTTATATCTATTCTATCAAAATCCATTTCCAATACAGACACAGCAGTATATCTAAATTTATTATTTATTCATTAATTAAAGATAATAAGAATAATATAGCATTAGAATATTATGTAATATTAAAATAGGATTATAAAAAACTCACGTTGGATATTCAATATGCCTAAATCCTGTATGTCGTGGGTACACATCTGCAACTGGTACTACAGCAGCTACAAGCCAACGATTGGATCTTTCACAATCAAAGTAAGGTCTAGTCCATTTCACAGGTCCAGGATATTCATCAGCACCTATAAAAATATATACATAAAATATGATGTAATAATACACATTTTAATTTAATAGATATATTTTTTACCTGGAGGTCCATGGAATGTAAAAGTTTCATTAGTATTATTAGCATAACGAATTTCAACTTGATAAGTAGCTTTAGTATCGTGTCTTTTCTCTACATTATCAGGTAACCATTTTCTGTACCTAATATATAATTCAAAGAATTAATATAAGAATAATGTAATTTACATAATGAACAAGATAACTTTTTTCTCTAATATATTACTAAAATGTGTTATAAAAAATATTTACCATTCATTTATCCTATAGTAATCTGTTGTATAATCTTTGCTAAGAGTATCAGTAGGAAATGCACCAAGATCTTGTACAGTAAATGTATTACGAGTAGATATTCTTTCAAGATGTATAGGATCATTAAAATCATCAGCTCTGAATGTTCTTGGTGCAAACCTTGGCATTGTTTTATTAAAGAATCCTCTATAGGATGGAGAATATGACATATTTGGTGCAAAATAGATAGCAGAAGCATTTATATATGGATTAGCAGATACATCAGCAACCGTAGATAATATGTAATACATCATTCCTGGATCATAAGTATCATTAATAGCTGGTCTTATAAATCGAGATTGAAGTATATAACTCCAAAAGAAAGATCTGCTCAATGCCATATTATGTAAATGTAACAGAGCTGTTCTATTTGGAAATACTGGATTAATATTAATATCCTTTATATCTGGCAAATGCGAAACAGAATCCTCTGGTAAATATAGATCACCAAGATATTGTATAGGGCAGTTATCAGCATTAACTTTATCCATTTTGAATCGAATTTCATCAAATGAATCTCTCAATTGCCATTCATATTGACCAACAACGCCCAATAGAAGGCAAATGATCACTAACGTTAGACGAATATAAGAAATCATCTTTTAGATAATTTTAATTCTTCTATTTGATATAAATGCACTGTTTACACGTTAACTTCCATATTAAATAAAGCTTTTGTTTTGTGTGAATACTTTAAAGTTACTTTTTTGATTGATTTCACTTATATTTATGTGTTTAATTTACGCTCCGTTATTAATTGTTATAAATACACCCAATACTAATAATGACGCTAAAACCATGGGCGTTTTCCAATTCCAAACACATAACGCATGGCATTTTTCAATGATACCAAACTAACAGAAAAAGAATTCTGTATTCACATTTCTTATAGGTGCGCTGATATCGCTTTTATCCACGCTCCCTAATGGTCAAATTTTTTATTATTTTTTCTCATTTTATGTTATATAAAAATCAAGGTTTTTTTCCTCTCAATTTAACTTAATATAATATATAAATAAAATCTACTGAGATAACTATACTATTTCATATCATTATTAGCCATATAATAAGTAATACAAATCAGCAACTTATATTAAATCTTTAAATATGGAAAAATATAAAAATTTAATATAAATTTGTTACAATTATTTACTTAATAATCAAAAAATAAAACTCTTTTTATTTATTGAAAAAGATTGAAAATCTTTTTAAGTTTTTATTCAAATTTGAATATCGCGCTCACCTTAATTACTGATCGCGTGATTTTAAGACCAATCAAAGAAATCTTCGATATAAAAGAAAAAATATAGTACATCGCATGCCTTGAAAAATTTATTTAAAAATTGATTATGCAATTGCAAAATTGTCAATGGTATTTATTACCGAAGACATCATTCGATAGTATAAGAAAATTCATTTCCTGTTGCTTACGATCAGTGTAATTGCGTATTTTTAAGAACGTGTAAAGATTTTACTATCTATTTTATTTCATTATACTTACGAATAGTACTTAATACTCTGAAAAAATTACTCTGTAAAAAAATGAATCGTATAAGAAAACTTGTTTCCAGTAAAGAAACTCGAGATTATTTCCTGAGGCAAGTAATATGCACTCTCATTCTTCTTATTTTATAATTAAATCGGTGGTTCTTTTTTGTTTTAGTACACATTTTTGGGGACCAATTGCAAATTGGGGTATTCCAATTGCTACTATTGCAGATATAAAAAAAGATCCAAAATTTATTAGTGGTAAAATGACTATCGGTTAGTATTATACATTCACATAATACATATTTTCATAGTATCGTATAGGTTATGTTTTCATATATAGAATATAAATATCACCTTTTGATATTATAACGAATAATGAAATAATACAATTAAATAGGTCAATTTATTAAACATTTTCTATAAGAATTACATGAAAAAATACAGATTTATAATATCTATTTTAGATATCTCTATTTTTTCTCTATCTTTTTAATAAAAAAGTTTCCTATTATTGTTATCATAATTATTGCTCTAATTCTTTATATTACCAGAAATCTTTATAATAATCTAAATATTTATAGTTAACTATTCACATAATTAACTATACAAATGTTTGTACAAAAAGATATTACTTACTAATAATTGTCTGATATAGTTCATAAGATATTTAATTTTACAGATATTTCATCTTTTTATGGTATTTTTTAATCACACTTTTATTGGTTTTCTATACTATTATCGTTTTATATTTAACATTATTTACTCTTAAAAATTTTATAGGGAGAATGATATTTCTTATAAATTTTTAGACTTTAATACTAATCTTTTTTAGCTTTATGTGTATATTCAGCAGCATTTATGAGATTTGCAATCAGAGTGCAGCCACGCAATATGCTACTTTTTGCTTGCCACTTTGTCAACGAAGGAGCACAAATTACTCAAGGTTGTAGATTTATAAAATATCATTATCTAGATAAAAAGCCAGAACAATAAAGAATAATGAATATCCCAACTGCCAAAGAAAACAATCGTTCAAAAAACTTACAGTTTAATATTTTAAAATATTATAGTATACTGATAGGTATTTGTTAATTTAAATATCTGTACATAAAAGGAATATTCTGTTATACCTAATAAATGTAGATAATTGATATAATGTGTTTCTTACGAACATGTATCATAATTATTATGTACAAACAAAAATAAAAATGTTTAATATTTTTATATTTTGCACATTAAGATAATTCTATCAACTATGATTGATCAATTGATAAAATAATTATATCGTTATTCATATAATCAAACAAACAATAATTTGATTTTATGGTTTAATTCATGTCAAAATCAATAATATTTATTTTTAAAACAAATTTCTATAACTGTCTTCATAATGGATAATTCACTTTTATATATGACCATTAAACTATACTATAAGAAGATAGTCATTTGTATAGAATATATTTATAAATATGTATGATTTTTTTCGAGTATCACAATCACAGTATTCGCACATCAATGTGTGCGCAGACTCACAATTACTTAAAAATTATAAGTAATGTTTTCAAAATTTATATGTGATGTTGTCTTTCTTGTCCTTATATTTATCTGTATTTCTTACCCTACAGATCATATTAACTTTGATAATTTTTTATATGTGGTACTATTTTAAAAGACAACGAGATTCTAGACTCATATAATTTTGTTTCATTGTTTTAATTCCGTATAACGATACGTGCCATAGTTCGTGTGAATATTTCTAAGTAAAGCATTGAAGCAATAGAAAAAGATCGCATTGTATTAGATATATTATCGTTAATTGTGTATCAGATTATGATTTCTATATATTTTGCAATATTCGATTTTCTTTCTTATATAACGAAGAAAAACTTTTACTAACATATCAATTAGTTTCAAAGATTTCATTATGATAAAACAATGATCAAGATTATTTTTCAAGAAATTCATGATCTTCACATAATTCAAGTTATCAAGATTGGTAAGATTATTAGTAAATTTATTATGCTTTTTATTAACTCCATTTATTGTAATTATGTTAACATTTATTTTTATGATTGTTTTCTTTTATTTGTCATTAATTTCACTATATTTAGAATATACGCTTGTGTCTGCGTGTGAATATGTAAAATTTGTCACCAAGTATGTTGCTCCATAGTTGAAATTTAGTTTGCAATGAAATATATCGTACCATTGTAAATGTCTCGATATTAAATATGATCTTTGTCTCCCTCCTCTATCATCGAACTGGTTCTCTGTTCAAACTATCTCACATTCTGTTTCTCATCACGTATATTCACTGCCCATGTATTTCACACAGTTAGATACGTTTGCTTGAAGTCCAGTTTCTTCTTTGAGCTACCTAGCCTAAAAAATCTGGATGCATAGGTAATTACTTATTCCTTTTCTTTGCCGTTATATTCGCAATACAGAAGTGACCACTGACTCAAGTTCAGGTTTACTATCTTGCTAGGGTATCCCATGTATCCCTCACTCATTAGAATGAAGTGTACCTTTGAAGATGAAATTCTCCCTTCAGTAGAGGGATCTAATCCTTTTATACCTTAATGCTTGACTGTGTTCTTTTACAGAACAGAAGTATACGGAATAACTAATATATTGTTAAAATTATACAAATATTTATTTTTTTTTCTTTATAAATTCTTATTTTTATATGATACATACAAAATTTTAATCTTTTCTTTACTTCAAAAGTAAAAATAACTTTTTCTTCAAAAGATATATATATATATATATATATATATATATATTTTATAAAGATATTTTATAAAGATTTAAAAAATAATTTTTCACTTATAATATATTTTATATTTAAATTAATTGATAATTGTAATTGATTTTTCATAAGTAAAAATTTTTACATTTAAAAAATTTTCTATAGAATATAAAAATATAGATATATATTAATAATATAAATAATATATATAAAATAATATAATATATATATAATTTATTGTGTGCATGTGTCTATATATATATACAAATATCAAAAATATCAAGATTATTGTTCGCTTGGCAAAACATCATATACATTAATTCATCATAAGTACATATAGAAAATTAAATTTCTTTTAAAAAACAATTCTATTAACTGATTTAGCATCATGTGAAAAATATTATTGCTTGTTAACTGTTATTAATATTTTACACAGTATAACTTTTTATCCAATAATAATTTATAATAAATGAAAATAAACGATAATTAGTTAATATTAATGTGATTACGTAAGATATATAAAAACGAAAATGTTATCATTCGTGAAAACAGTGATACTTATTGCGTTCTCATAGAAAATAGAAAAAACAAAGCTATAACTTAATACGACATAACATTTAGGTGGCCTTTATTATGATAATAGATACGTTCGTCTTATAGTCCAACGACCCCCTATAGGTGCAGCTTCCCGAGCATACGAATATTCTTCTAGCGACGAAGGGGCATTATTGTCGCAATACGGGATTCACCCCTGTTTATCCGTAAAAAAAGGAGAATTTCTCATAGCCAAACAAGTTTCCAAGTCGAGGAGACAAACTTGCTGGGGGTCCATCCTGTAAATGTCCGTTCATGTCTGCTCGAAAGATCCTGAGAAAATCTTTCTTGTGCCCGGTCTTTCCCGCCTGTATTCGAGAATCTCGATACACTAACGTGGGAAACGAGGGTGCGAATGATCATTAAGCTGCATCGCCACCGATCATATTTCTCGCCAAGACGTATATTTTTATTGTGTTAAGAAAAGAAAAAGAAAAAAAAATATATATATATATGTATATCTATACGAGTTTTTTACATCTCGACGTTCGACGAGCAATATGCAAAATAATATCGCGTCGTGTGAACAAATACCTTGAATATGGTACTACAAAATGTCTACCTAAAAGGAAAAAAAAAATATACATATATATATATATTTTTTTTTTTCAACTTAATTTTAATAAACTCATTATTATATTTTATTCTATGAAATTGTCTCATATTTATCCATGTCTTTTTTTTATAACTTTCGAATATAAGCTAAAAAAAAAGGATTAAGAAATTTCTTTAACTACAATAGATAACAGACTATTAATTACACTAGATAAGAGATTATTAAATAGCATGAAGGATATTAAATTTGCGATTAAAAAAAAATGTAAAAGTTTCAAAAACGATATTATTAATATCAAAATGGAAATTTTATCGATAACTGAGGATGTATTTAAATTGATCGAAAGTTTTGATTCATTTCGATAATTTGTTATACGTACGTGAACGTAATTAGTGTGACAATTTCTCATCGAATGTCAACATTTTATTCATTTTTGATTTCGCTAAGATAATCTTTTATTTTTTTTATTCGTTGCTTGGATACTTCTACTAATTTAAAAAAAATCACAAAAGGTTCAGCCATTTAAAAGAAAAAGAAAAAGTAAAAGAAAAAAAGAAAAAAAGAAAGAAAAGAAGGAAAAGAAAGAAAAGAAAAAGAAAAAGAAAAAACAAGCTAGAAAAGATCGAAGAAACAAGATTTTTCAAATCGTAGGTATGTACACGACCACTTAAATTTCAACCTCAAATAACAATAACGCGAGGGTCAGGCAAAAAGTGCATTGTCTACACGTCGCTGGGAGACAGACATACAGACAGACATACAGACATATAGGCAGACAGACAGACAGACAAGCAACACAGTGTGCAAGAGAGAAAAGGGGAAACAGAAAAGAAGAAGGAACGATGAGGTATAGAAGGAGTGGGGAAAGGAAAGAGAGAGAAAGAAAGAACGAACAAGAGAAAGACGGAGAAAGAGAAAGAGAAAGAGAGAAAGAGAGAGAGAGAGAGAGAGAGAGAGATATGAAGGGAGAGAGACGAATAGAACAGACAGAGTGGGTGGATAAGCGAGAGCGAGTAAGCGACTAAATTAGCGAGCGAATTAGCGAACGAGTAAACGGATGGACGTGTAGGTGGAGATGAACGACGAAACGAACGAGTAAAAAAGAGAAAGCTAGATAGATATATAGATACATAGATAGATAGATAGGTATATAGACGAAAAGAAAGAAAGGAAGACGATGATATATGTTAAGGTTTCTTAAAAAAAAAAGGAACAATTTTTGTCTTGAAAAACCTTCGATAGTTTCTAGGGTGGTTTGCTGCTTCCGGCAGAACGACCAATACGATTTGGAAGATAAAAATAATCGACAGGAAAGTAGAAAAGCTCCGAGGGAACAGGTTTCTGCGAGCGAACGAACGAACGAACGAACGAACGAACGAACGAAACGAACGAACGAGCGTGCGAGCACTCCCGTCCGTCTCTTTCCCTCCTCTTCATCCACGGTGAGACGCGAGTGCACGACTCGACCAGACGGACGGCCTACGGTTGCTTTCAGGTACGTGCCTTGACCCTTGTGCCCTGTTCTTAACTCCTTAGAATTATAAACGCGAGATAGATCGCGACGAAAAATTGCGAACGTCATATAGCCAATATAATTTTGATAAAGTAATAAAAAAAAAAAGTAATAAAACGTTTTTTATCGGGAAAAAGAAAAGAAGAAGGGAAAAAAAAAATATTATCTTTCTTTATTCATTACGTATATTTCTCTCGATAATGAACTTACCAAGAAAATATATTGTAGATTCGATAAGTGAATTGTTTTAACTCTTCTTAGAAATTGTTTCCTTTTATAATACATTCGATGAAACTTCTTTCTTTCTTTCTTTCTTTTTTTTTTTTTTTTAATCTTTGACCTCGCACGAAGTTCGTTAAACGTTTGTTAATTTCGAACGAAAGATCTATAGAATTAATCTATTAGATGGGGAATAACTTTTTTTTCTTTGCAGTAGACAAGAAGTTATCGTTCGTTAAACGATAAATTTTTAATTTATATCGTTTTTGAATTGATTTTTTTTTTAATTGAGTTTTGTAATTTCTAATTATAGTAATAATTATTTAATATTTTTTTCGTCTTCTTTTTTATTTTCTTTTCTTTTTTTTATTTGCGCTAAGCGTTCTTTCGTATCGCACTTAGAGGCGGTTGTGTTCACCGGGGCTTGTTCAAGGAATGCGCAACATGTGGCAGGCAACATGCTATTTTGTACATACGCCCGATGCAGCGTTCAAAGAGTTACGCGTAATGTCGTTTGCAAGATGTTGCATGACAAAAATCGACGCCATTCGAATACAGGTTATATCAAACCTTCGATATATACATTTGATTATATTTTAATTTCCTTTTCTTTCTTTTCTTCTTCTGTACCACCTTTATAGTACAATATTTTAGTAAAATATTTTTATAAAATCGTTTAATCATAATTATTAATCAAAAATTAGAAGAAATTTAAAGAGAAAATAATGAAATATTACAAGAATTGCAAACGAAATTGCAAGTTGAAAGAAATAATTCGATCGTTTATAAAGGAAAAAGAAAAAAAAAAAAAAAAAAAGAAAAAATAAAGAAGAAAAGAAAAATTGATTTCGATCGATTTTTTATCTTTTAATTAAAGACAAAAAATAATGTGATAGAATTTTCTTATAAAGACGTAGGAACGATGTATGTAGGTCAAGTAGCCGAAACTGGACGAAGGTTAGCTTCGAACCCTTCTTCGCATATGGAAAGAACCTAACATCCAGTATTTATCAATGACATCGATCTTTTACCTTAATGTAAAAGTTAATTTTAATTCAAGGACATTTTCATTTTTTCATTGAACTTTTTAATAACTATTCATCGATTGTGAAATAACAGGTTATAAATAACAAAAGAATTTTGCAAACGTTCTGACATTATATCTAATATTATTCGCGATAATAAAGTTATTTCGAAAGTTTCATCGAATATTTCTTTAGACTACATAATAGATATTAATATAGATATACATATATATATATATATATATATATATATATATATATATATATATGTATATTTCGAATCATTTTTAAATACTAGAACAGAATAATCTTTTCGATAGAAAAAAAAGTACATATACATGCAACATACATATATACATACATTGATGCGCATAAAATATTAGTCACTGCATACGTACGTGCACTCTCAGATTGCGTAACTAACTAGCTAGAATTCATTTTCTGGGATACTAACGAAAATAAATCCAGCACGAATATCAATTTTCATTTTTATTTTTTATCTTTCAATATATATATATATAATATATAATATATAATATATAATATATAATATATATAATATATAATATATATATATATGTTATCAACTTATAATTCAAGAACAGACAAGTTAATTTTTTTTCGTTTTTCAATTGATATAATTTCTAAATGATATTTCAATTTGAATATATATATATATATATATTAAAAAGATAAAATTGTAAGATATTCTTCAAATCTATACATATATATAACATATATATGTACATATATACATAAAACAGCGAGCGTCATTTTCTGTTAAAACCGCGAAGCCCCTCGGCGGTAGACGCGTGTATAACCTCTTCCGCTTAAAGGTCCCGGCTACGGGCCTGGGCCAACGATGCATGCCTCCTCTCTCATATACTGCACGGTCGTCGAACGAGTCCAAACGCACCTTAACGTAGCCCACGAGAGAAAACCGTTCGCGCGATCGTACTACGCGTGTCTCCTTTGACCTTGCTCCGGCTGCAGTTTCGTCGAAAGTAGATTTTGCCCTTCGAACGTGTGCCCCGTTCGTTCCTTGAACCGCGGGGGAGCTTACCTCATTGTCTTATTTTCACCTGCCACATTTTCGAAAAGGCAGTATGCGTTGTATTAGGTTAACGCGCTTATTCAAAACACACACATACACGCACGAAAAGAGAATTCATATTAAACGACGACGATTTATGAGCTAGACGTAACCACAAAGAATATTTTATACTTTTTAGATACGACGAACGAAGATTCACCGACGAATTCTTTTCTTTTTTTTTTTTTTTTTTTTTTTTTTTTTTCTTTTTTCCTTTTTTTTTCCCTTAACCGTTCGTAATATGAATCTCTTTCAACGTTGAATATTAATTATGCCTTCGCAAATCATTTTGTGTAGCATTGATGATGAATATATATTTTTCATTTTACGAGATAACAAGGCGAGAGAATTTTATAGCTTGCCTTTTTTTCCCCCCTACATACGTAAATACGTACATATATCACGTCGAAGACACGATCTTTCGCGATTCGCGCGAAAAGGGTCAACGTGCTCACCGAAGTATTATCGACGAAGCAAATCGTCTCGCGGAATACATTACGAAATGCAAACTAAAGTATCTGTCTACTATGTACGTTAAGAATATCTATTTACTGTTCGATCGTGTCCAATTTGTAAACTTTTCATATATACTTACAAGATGATATGAATATTTAATCTTTCTTTTGATCGTAACAATTTTTTGTCGGTGATAAATGTTATTAGAAAAAAAAAAAAAAAATAAAAAAAAAGAAGAAAAGTTAGGTTAAGATAAGCATATTGGAAAGATTTAACTTGATATCTTAACGTTGTAAACGTTAACGATATGCTTTGTGAATATTTAGTTGAAAAAAATGTTGGAAATGGTTGGAGCACGATCGATATTTAATATGTAGGGATCGTAAAAAGGTAGCGACGGCCCTGGCCTCTAAGGCGGGGCTCGTCTGTGCCGCGAAGAGAGAGGTAAGAGGTTGAATCGGATTGGATTGGGGCGCAACTCGCAAGCAACCGAGCAAGCAAGCAAGCAAACTGGTTTGGTTTTGTGGGGCTTGCACCACTGCATCGCTCCATCGGCGAGGCAGTCCAATTTATGCATTACGGCTATGTAGGCACTACACGATATCAAAACTCTCTGCGCCCGGGCCTTACAACTCCATTTACCATCTCCGTTACAATATTATCAGAATTTCGCAAGTGCCTACAAGAACTAAATTTGCTGTAACCAACGTCCACATTTGGGTACATACCATCATCCACTTTGTGTTTAGTCGGTTACTACACGCACGTTCGTTCATTCGCGCGGTGAAACAAAGGAGTCCAAGTGTGTTAAACGATATAATATATATATTTCGTGAAACGCGTCGCGATTGTGGTGTTTGATAATTATGAATTTCATACCTCGCAAAAGATCGTGACTGTTTTTGTGTTCGTCTGTTTCTCTAATTTGGTGCTTCGCTTCACGCATTTTGCAAAATTTAGTTATTGTGAAGAGTTTCAATCCCGTCAACAGGTACACATCATTTTAATTGTATGATTTTAATTTTTTTTTCCATAATATTATTTATTCCCTTATCGGCAGCTTCAAACGAACAGAGTGCAATTGCCAAGAGCTGTGCTCACGTATTTGCTTTTTTTTTTGTCTATATGTGGCGCTTTCGTCTCTCCGTGAGGTTATATAGTGCTGGAGTGCATCGTTCGATCCTCGCCTTGTGATGCTGTCTCTTTCTTTTTTTTTTATCTCTGCTCGCCCGCGTTCGCGAGTCGTAGCAGCAGAGAGAGAGAGAAAGAGAGAGAGAGAGAGAAAGAAAAAGAGAAGGAAAGAGAGAGAGAGAGAAAGAGAAAGACGACCGTGGCAAATTCCTATCTCGTAATTATCGTTTTTCGAAGGGAGAACATTTAATAGTTCCTTCAAATGATGATTATTTATCAAAAGTATAACTTTGTGTAACAATTTATAATGCAATAATATATGCCTATATGTTTATATTTCAATATCTATCTCCTTGAAAATAATTTTTCTTTCAAATTTACATAATTGCAGACTTATATAAATTATATTCGTAGATTTCATCATAAAAAAAAAAATCATTAGTAATTTTTAGAATTTTTCTCTATCCATCTCTTCGATCTTTGTTTTGACCTTAAATATTGTTAAAGAATACGCGAATTGCACACTTTCATTCCATTTTCTGTACTTGATCAAATAGAAACAGAACCATAAACGTATTTGTATTCATCTTAAATTTTTTAATGATTTCAATTTGTTATCAAATGAAAAATAAACGAGTTATATATATATATATTTTTTCATTTTTCTGAAAGAACTTAGTGCATTTGCAAGCAGATAAGTCGTGTTAATAATTGAAAAGTATCGTTTCAATTCTAACTCATTAATAGAAGGAAAAAGAAATAAATGAATGATAATATAATACTGCTTCTGCATTTTGATATTTTAATGTTATTATAAAAAATAATCGATAAAAAAAAGAGAGAGATAGAGAGAGAAAAGTTATATATAAGAAATTAATTCGTCATTGATTTTAATAACATTATTGTTGCATGCTATTAACAATTTTCAACATGAATAATTTACGCGCCGTATTAAAATTTCGATCGAAATTGTAAAATGAAATTAGACAGTTCTTTATGTGATCACACATGGCTTTGAAAGCGAGTAACGTCTTCTCCGACTACCCGTCACCCATGGTTCGTTATTTCGCGAGCGTACGGCTCAACTTTTTCTCTTCTCACGGTTTTCGCACGGGCCAATCAGAATTTACGAGTGCGCCCGAAAGAAAATGGCCAACCTCATGTCGCTGGGTTCGAGCGTATCTTTGCGCGTCGTTTTGTGAACCCCGTAGTCCGCAATCACGTTGACGTCTGTCGCCATTTCCTCGCTCAGGGGAACCATTCGTTTATTTTCTAAGGTAAATCGTAAAACTTTTCGATAACGAGAAAGCACGATTTTTACATTCCATTATATTATTGTAAGAAATTAAAAAAGTGCAATAGAAAAAAATTCTTGTGTTCCGAGACGAACGAAGTAAGTGTTATCGGGTGTGCAAAAGTGTATCGCATTCACCGAGATGTGTGGATGCAGCTCCATTGCCGGCCGGCGAATGCCTATGAAAAATTATAATCGTTTCATTTTGTGCGCGCTTATCTTTCCTAGTGATAGTGAGGATCTTAGAAATGAATTGACCGCATTGATTGGAATTTATTTATTAAATTGGTCATATTTTTCATGCTATTTTTTTTTTACAATTAATGATTCGGTAATTCCTATGTGAATTGTGAATCTTTCGATGGAAAATTCATAAAATCAAATTGAATTTTTTCCATTAACGAAGTTATAACCGCCATTGTAATATATCACCCTTTGAAACCTTATCTAACGATCTATATGTTAGCGCGGGAAAATTCTGTGTATCTCTAGTTCATCGATCCGCGTTTCGGTGTTGTATGGATTTTTTATTTTTTATGTTATTGTTTTTTCGTCTTACTTTTTATTCCTTTTTCATACACATGTAAGTGTATATATATATATCTTTTTTATTATTTTTTACATATTATGACTATTTGAATATACATGGAGTGCATTATGAGAAAAAATTGTTTATTTTCTATTTAAAGAATTGTATGTTACAGTATATAGATATAAAAAAAAATATAATAATGATATTATTATCACAAAGATATTCGATGGTTTTGTTTCATTCTGTTATTATATTTATATCTTTGTTTCTAGCAATATATTAGAATAACAATGATTAATGAATTTATGAAAAATCTTTGTTTTAAATTTATTGATAGTATTCTTATATTGTATAAATAATAATAATATTATGAAATTTTTAAAAGAAAGTCAGCACAGGTGTTAGTACTAATATTTACAAGCTTTTATTACATATACAGTGTGTGTTTCCATTAAATTCAATAGTTTCTGTCAATAAATTGAAATATTTGTTTGAAAGTTTATGGATAGAAATGCTTATATTATTAGAAATTAAAAATATTCTTTTTTATAATTTTAGTTATATTCTCATATTCTTTTATTTTGTAAATATTATCCGCTTGTGATTATTTCGTTTGTGAATTTTATGTATTGATTTTTGTACAATTTTTTTTTTTAATTTGAAAATATTTGGTTTGTAGCTATGGCCGAAGGAAATGGGGAAATAAAAATGGAAGAGAAGCAGTCGAAGGAGGAAATGGAATATACAGAACGGACAGAAGATTATACAAAACTAATCCAATATGGACTAGATGAAAAAGTGGCTGCCAAACTCGATGAAATTTACAAGACAGGAAAACTGGCACATGTGGATTTGGATGAAAGGGCATTGGATGCATTGAAGGAATTTCCAGTTGAAGGAGCTTTAAATGTACTCACACAATTCCTTGAATCGAATTTAGAACATGTGTCTAACAAATCAGCATTTCTTTGTGGCGTAATGAAAACATATAGGCAAAAAAGTCGTGCTGGTCAAGGTACTGGTACAAGTACAACATCTAAGGCACCTGATGAGGATAAAATCAAGGTAAATTAATTCTTTCCTTATTGAAAATGACTATTATTACTTAACAAAATACTACATGAATTAAGAATTTTAGATGAACATAGCATATGTTTATATTTTCATAGTAACTAATGTTCTTTAATCTGATGTATATTTATTCGTATTTTTTTTTTATATTAATTTGATATAACTTAAATAAGAAATCAATATAATATTAATAATTTGCATAATAAAAAAAAGTATTAGATATTACACTCTGTGGACAAAATTCAGCCATAACGTTAATAAAAGAAAATTGCAATAGAATTATATTTTTCATTAATTGATATTATAATTATAGATGATACTTGAAAGAACTGGTTATCCATTGGATGTAACAACAGGACAAAGAAAATATGGCGGACCGCCACCAAATTGGGAGGGCCCGACTCCAGGAACTGGTTGTGAAGTAAGTTTTTCTCTTGACTTTAACATAAAAGTTTTAATTATAGATAAAATATCTTTGCATTGATTTTTATTATAAATAAAATTTAAATATTGCACTATTTATTTGTGATATAATAATTTATATTTATTTCTATAAAGGTGTTTTGTGGTAAAATCCCAAAAGATATGTATGAAGATGAATTAATACCATTGTTCGAAAAATGTGGGAAAATTTGGGATTTGAGACTGATGATGGATCCTATGTCAGGTTGCAACAGGGGATACGCATTTATCACTTTCACTAACAGGGATGCTGCTCAATTGGCTGTCCGTGAGGTATGTTTATATTTTTTCCTTATTATCCTTATCTATTGTGTAGGTACATGTTCGTAATGTGTACAAATTGGTTATTTTTTTTTTTGCTCCAGTCAATACCATGCCGCTATGGATATTGGATTTTTTGTTCCTTTCTTATTTACAACATTTTTAGAAATGTTACAAAATTGTTATTGCTACCAAATCACGTGTTCTTTCGAAATGTTTATGAATTTGTTGTTGTATGAATCATATTAGTAGCTTTTATTTAATTCTGAAAAATGTTTATATATATTGTGTGCATCATATGTATGCATCATATATATATTTGTTCTTTTTTCCTTTTTTCTTTTTCTCTTTTTTTTAAATATATATATATATATATTTATTTTATTATATATATATATATATATATATATATATATATATATAATAATAATTCATTATATCACATCAAATTTGAATGCTTTATTACATATTCTTTCCTTTTTATTTCTATTATTTATTTAGTTATATTAAAAGTAATCATATTTAATGAATAAAACATTAAAGAGGTGTCGACGCGTTATTACTAATACACATGTAGCTTTTATATAGTTATTTAAATCACTAAACATTTCGAACGACTATTATCATATCCCTATGTGGCTTGTTCTGTGTTCTTCATACCTCTTAATTTTCCTTGTAGTGGTATATTCAAACATGTGATTTAACATAATCTAAAATTTTAACTTCTTTTTTGTTAGGAACAATCCACATATCTGTTTCTTATGTATATGTCCCTGACCATTTATTCATCTTTAAGTATACAATTATTTCCAACTTATCCCAACATACAAATAACACTGAAAAATGTATATTAATTATATCCTACGGATAAGTTTCTTTTTCCAGCTCTCCTCTTTGCTCAGTGGGCAAAATTGGGAGTGGAGAACCTTCCTGAAAATGAAAATGAACAAAAAAAAAAAACTGTGTCTTTTGAAGTCTAATTGGTTAGGGGTATATTTACTAATTGGTCAAAACTCATTGGACAGTGACAATTTTTGTAACAAAATTTAAAAAAAAATTGGTAGGCTTAAAATTTGTTTACAGGAGCACATGAACGCCGGTTTCCTATATTGTGAAGACTCGAGCGACAAAGCGCATGCCACTTTCTCGCTTTCATGGATCTACGCCATGTTAATTTCTTTACTAAATTGCACATTTTGAAATTCTTCCCAAATTCTACCATTTGTCGTAATTACTTAACCACTCAAATTGTATCATTGGAACAAAATTAGGCATGTGTCTGTTTTCTTCATCCCACAGCTCGATAATCACGAAATAAAACCCGGCAAGAATCTGAAAGTAAACATTAGCGTTCCTAATCTACGACTTTTCGTGGGGAACATACCAAAGTCAAAAGGCAAAGAGGAGATCCTGGAGGAATTTGGTAAATTAACAGGTAAAGTGAAATTCGAGGAGTGTGTACCTACCTACCTACCTATACCTACCTGTCTACCTGTATTGTAACTTAAGAGTGGTAGCTTTTAAGTAGTGGTTGTAGATGGTATGGAACTTATGGAGCATCCAAACGATCATGCGACTGTGTGATCTACAAAACCTGCGGCACCTTCAGATCTGGTCAGTCTCCTTGCCTCTCGGTTTATTAGTGAACAGTAACACCTCTCTGGTCCAAGTCTTCTTTCCTCGCATATTTAGGTTGAGTTATGAGTTATCTGCTTCCTACTATACACGCGGAACCTTACTATCCATCTGCCACCTCATTCCCACTTTCTGCATCTGGTTACTTCATCGAACTTATATAGTGCTTCTTTGCCTTCTCTTTGGGAAGGTTCAAAAAGAGGCGAGGAAATGGAAAGAGAAAATGTGGAAGCTATACATTAGATTAAGAATTTCTTTGAATCGACGAAAAAAAATGCTGTGCTGTGTTATTGCAATTCGCAATATGCAAATGTGATTCATGACTAAGCCTCAAGCATGGGGGTATGGGAGACCTGCGTGGACCGCTGGGGCGTTTGACTCGCTAACAAACGGACAGGCACTCCCACCCACCCTGTATAATATCAATCCTCAAATTTATTTCCATCCCGTAGTCCCATAAAATTTTCATTAGTCCTCTGTACAATCTCCCTGAAGGTCGCTTCATGAAATCCCACATTCAGACAGCCAATAAGCAGGTGAAATTATAAAAGGCAAGCTTAATTGGCACTCTCCTTCCACATTATTCTTACAGCTGAATGATTATGAGATTCGGAAAGGGAAAAAGATTGGTGTTACCGTATCTTATAACAATCACCGCTTGTTTGTGGGAAATATTCCAAAGAATCGAGACCGAGATGACTTGTTCGAAGAGTTTACAAAGCACGCACGTAAGTTGACAATTGTCCTTAAATCAGCAAGCAGTAACCAAATGAAGTTCTGTGGGAGAGATGAAGGGACAAATATTTATATATTAATGATTGGCTGTCTTGATCCAGTTCGTAGCAGAGGTGCCAGGTGGGTCAAGTCTAGCCCTCTTGCATTACTATATAATTACAAAATTGAACAAATCGGTATTTTTAATACTAAATTTTTATTCGATTTTGAAAGGTTTATATACTTTTCAGTGTGGTAATGCTGGTAAAAAAAATCTACCTTCATAACACTTACCTAAATTTATTTTTAAGCTAAATGTGAACTCTTCAAGTATGAAATTAATAATTTCTTTATTGGTATATCGTTCATTTCTTATATACATTGTAAATATGGATAAAATATTTGAGAAAAAAATTTTTAATACAAAATGTCCCACAACCAAGGGAATAAGACAACTTTATATTTTTGAAGCTGTTCAAAATTATTCTAAAAATAATAGGAATACGTCGTATAATAATTACAAAATATTGATTTCTTTTTTAAAGCAACAAACAAATATTATTTATAACTAGCTAAACACATGACTATGCTTTTGGTTGTGTTTTTTTTTTCTTTCTTTCTTTTCTTTTCTTTTTATCTGTCATATCTATCTTTTTTTATCACTCATAACATTCATGAATGTCGCTTAAAAATATTAGCAATTTTTAAATATAAAAATATAGATTTCGTGTTTTCATAAAAGTCCAATTCATTGAAGTCATATTTCCTGAATCCAGTATGTGTTTAATAAAAAGAGCCCATATATAGATAATTAATCCTACTAAAGATGATGTTCATATTGTTTTATCTTTTCTGGGAAAATTTAAGTACAGTTTAGGGATTTAATTGGTTTTGGGACATATGTGATATTGTTTTGTCAAAGTATGGCGTATGGTTCACAGATCTAGTTAAATGATAATACAGTCATCGTATCCTACATAATATCCACAGTACACTTATAAAATAATTTAACAATATTTCGCATAGGAGCACAATTGCATATCGTGGATTATTATATTTATTTCCTTAACGCAGAGTTGTTGGTTTCAAGTTGAAGTTTGTATGAATGGTTTACATTTTTTTTCTTTTTTTTTTTCCTTAATTTTTCCTTTTTTTTTTTTTTTTAAGATGAGTAATTGATGAAGCATAATTTTAATTCGTGATTATATTCTACGTGTGCGTGTGTGTGTGTCGGTGTGCGTATGTGTGTGAGTATGTGCGAGAGTATGTATCTTGCATGAAATCTCAGAATCTGGACACAGAGAGGAGATCTAAAAAAATAATATATGAAAGGAAAGGGCCGAACATAATATAATGAGGCATAGGAATGAATCTATCAATTAGTTTCTTTTTAAGTATTTTATATAATAAAATAATGGATGCAAGGCATCTGTGAATTTATCTTTATTATAAAATCTTATATAAGATATTATCTTTTAATTATCTTCATTGATCTTACTTTGACGCTTATTTAATTGATGCTTGGAGTATTTTATAAACATTCATATCAGATATTCAATGAAAATTTTAAGGATTATGCTTAAATATAATACAAAACTATTTGTGTAAGGTGCCTTGTTATCCAAATAATAGTAAAGCTTTTAAACTGAGAGGAAGGAGAAGTGAGCCATCTTGCAGAAATGGTTACACTAATTAATTTAACTTTCATACAAGTGTAATTTCTATTTAACAATTCATTTGAGTAAAGGAAGACTTAGTAAAACTACTATCATGGATAGCTGTATTTTGTTCTCACCTTGGTAATACATAGTTTATTTTGAAGAATTTAAATTGAATCAGGATTTCTTTGAAAGACTAATACCTTGCTTTTATATAAGTTAGTATAAATATTTTTGTATTTCTGCTATAATCTATGTATATTCATAGTGAGAATTATTCAACATTTGTTAGCGATAAGATTGTTGATTTTTATTTAATAATATTGCCACATTGTGTAAAACATGTGGGATATATGGGAAGGACTTTAATTCCAGCGTGGTAGACATTTTGAGTATTTAATTCAATCAGTGCGGTGCATGAAAATTCTAATAGCATGAAAAGACATTTTTGTACTTAATGATACATTCAAAATATTTAACCTGCATTATCAGTCATGGGTTCTTAAAATTTGTGTATTGAATTAAATATGACAAGTTATTGATGAAAAATTTGGGGTGTTTTCGACGTAGTGGTAAAATTCTACAGAATATTCTGAAAGGTTATATATGGAGCTTGCAATCTTTCCTTTTGTAGTTAATTGAACAACATCTTTTGCAGTTTAGTGTGCTATTTTTCAACCCACAATTTTATGGCTTTGTGTTTGTGTTATAAAGCAATATGAGTTTAGTATAGTAAAATGATGAAAAGATTAACTTTCTAATATTTTTAGGCTTTATCTGTGAAAAATAGTTTATAATACAATAATTGAACTAGTAGTCAAATTCAAGATATATACAGTTATGAAAACAGTATCTTAACCATCTCTTTTGCTCGTATTCATGTTTAGGCAAGTTATTTCGCATGAGTACTTTAACTTTCCACAAAGTTAATTGTCTGTAATAAATCTTGAGCTCTTTTTCTTACATTCTGAAGATTCAAATCGTGAACCAAAAGCACAAATTATTCTGTTTTTAAAATAAAAGAAATAATATAAATATTAGTTCAAGTGAAGTCTAATAAAATAGTTATTGTAGGTCATATTAATGTTATGTTACTAAATTATGTGGAAATCAATATGGTATAAGAACTAAATAGTAATGATAATCATGTCTTCATTTTCATGCACAATATACAGTCAATGGCTTTTTATAAATATCTACGATTATTCTGACAATTTTTATACAGAGTACACACTTAAGATTTTTTGTATATTTTGATATGGGACATTTACTTTATATAATAATTTTTTGATGATTTAGAAAGAAGGTTTTTCTTATATAATTCGGTTAGTAAAGTAAATTTAATTCTTATTTTATTTTCCATTAAATCCCAAATATTAATAATGATAATCATCTGCTAACATAAATATTAATAATATTGTTATACTATTCTCTTGCCTCATACATTAATAATAAATATGTATTTCTATGATTGTGAAAATATGTCGTTTTATAAGTTAATGTCAATTCTAATTTATAGCTAAAGGTAATGATGTAGCAGGAATTACATGATAAAAATTTTTTTATTTAGTTTAAAGTATGATACAATATAAAGTATATTTTCATAGGTGTTATGTTTTACATAGCTTTCTAGTGTAGAGTTTTCAAGATAATGTGGTAACTTAGTTAAATTTGTTGAATTTTTCAGTTGATATTTGATATTGTTACATTGTAACAATTAAGTTCTCTAATTACGTTTATTCTAGATCAAATAATTCTAAACTTGTCTAAAATTGACTTTTTTTTTTATATAGAAATAAAATTCCTTGTATTTATATGACGTTTAATGCAATTTTAAAATTATGTTGCTTTTTATATAATTACGTCTTTTATTATATTCAAAAATATAATAAAATTTTCGGCCTATTCCTTGTATTTTGGTACAGTTTCTATTTTTCGTTTGAGTAGTTTTATTTGTTTCGTTATATTTCTCTTTTTTCCCTTTTTTATTTTTTTTTACTTTTTTTTTATTTTTTTTTTATTTTTTTATTTTTTTTTATTTTTTTTTATTTTTTTTTATTTTTTTTTATTTTTTTATATGAACCTTATATACGTTTTGTATGATTTCTCACCATACAGCGGGCCTGACCGAGGTGATTATCTACAGTTCACCAGATGACAAAAAGAAGAACAGAGGTTTCTGCTTTCTAGAATATGAATCTCATAAAGCAGCCTCATTAGCTAAACGAAGACTAAGCACTGGTCGCATCAAGGTCTGGGGCTGTGATATCATAGTTGATTGGGCTGATCCACAGGAAGAGCCTGATGAATTAACAATGTCCAAAGTATGTAAAATATTGTAGTAACATTAAAAGATATTTTTGATCTTGTTATTTTATAGTTTCTGTTTGCAATTTTTTAAACAACTTGTGAACTGAAATGATGTATATGTATAATTATTTTCCAGGTTCGAGTGTTATATGTAAAAAATTTAACGCAAGATTGTTCAGAAGAAAAGTTAAAAGAATGTTTCGAGCAATATGGAAAAATTGAAAGAGTTAAGAAAATTAAGGACTACGCTTTTGTGCATTTTGAAGACAGGGATAATGCTGTAAAGGTAATATTCATTTTTCTGTTAACATTATTGGTATATAAGATAAAAATGAAAAATAATTACATCACGTTCTAGGCAATGAACGAGTTAAATGGTATAGAAATTGGTGGTTCGCGTATAGAAATTTCACTAGCTAAGCCTCCATCTGATAAAAAGAAGAAAGAAGAGATTCTTCGAGCAAGGGAAAGAAGAATGATGCAATCATTGCAAAGTCGTGGCGGGTAAGATATTATTTCTTTATTTTGTATTATACTCTAATATTTATTTTATTCCAGTAAAAAGTATTTTATATGATTATTAAAGCAGATATAACATTATTATTATTATTTATTGTTTCTATTTATTCTATTTATTCTATTTATTCTTTATAGAGGGTCTCCATCCCATCCAGGCATGATGGGAGGCCCAATGCCAGTTCGTGGTCCTGGACAAGGTCCTAGAGGCACTGGTGCAGGTATGCGTGGACAAATGGGACGAGGCGATTATGGTAAGTACTATTTGCTATCAATGATTATTTATTTATTAATTTCAAGAATTTCTGTGTTAATCTATTCACTATTAACGTGTAAAATACACAAGAGTATTTCTGCAAAACTTAAATATCCTCATTACCGTTTAACATATATGTATGTTATCAAAATAATTACACAATCTTTAATATTTTACAAAAATGTTTTGATAAAATTCTATGCAACAAGCTTAAATTGCAATAATTGTTTTATTATGTTTGCAAAGCACTGAAAAAAGAATTGTTGTATCAAGTGTGTGAATATTATTTATACTAAGTTTGATATAACAAATGAAAATTTTTTTATCAATAACATCATCCGAATTAAATAGTTTTTTCTCATAATAATTATATACATATAGATCATTATATAAAACTTTGATAAAGAACTCAAGAAAATAATTTTATAAAATTTTTACATGTGTGTTAAATGTTATAACATTTTTTATTTCAGAAAGAATAATACAAATTTATACCAATATTTTTGATATGATATATTTAATTGAAATATCCCGCATGCTTTTGGGGATTTTTCACTATCTCACTACAGACCTTTGGCTTTACACGCATGATAGGCTCTTTCCTATGCGTGAAAGACAAATATTTATTCAACATTTCTAATATTAAGTTATTTATACATATATATATTTCCTCGACCACAACTTTTTCCTTTTCCTATTATTTCCAATAGTATTTATTCTGCAGTAAATGTATTGAAAAATGTATGGTTGATTGCTTTCGATACTTTAAGTAAATTAAAAATTTCAAAATTTTAGTATATGCAGCAAATTAACAAGAAAAATTAGTGTAATTTGTCCCATTGTAATTTCATATTATACCAATGAAATAACTTCCAAATTGAAATATATTTCCATTTAATAAGGTTGTAGTGAGAAAGTGCTCAGATAATGTAATTAGTTTATGTCATTCAAATTTATTTTATTGTAATGTTATCATTATCAATTATAATGATTTAGTCTGAGCCTATCTATTTTTATGATTATATTATTATTACTTCTCTATTTGATTTAAAAAAATGTTTACTTAAATTATACAATGCTTGATGAGTGATATTAAGTATA